GGGACACTGACTTGTACATACATCGGCTGGCCACCGCAAGTCATTGTATAGGCCACATCGCATTCAATAAGCCACTACGATTCTGAATGGAAGTAGAATGCGTGCCGCATCCCACAAAGGGATTGATCAACGGCGAAGACTTCATCCTTTATTGTTCGGAGAGATTCGAAAAAGATATAAACGGAAGTAAGGTTCCAAAAAGCAAGCAGGTGAAGTTGCGTGCCGCGCAGTATGGCATGCACATTTACGGGTCTGACTCAGCCAAAACGATCAGCGTAGACACACCTTCGAAAAGGAAAAAAAATAAAAGCCTCGCTGACTGTATAAAGACATGAGTACCTCTAGTAACCAACCTAATTTACTGTAATCCTCAACCAGTCTGATTAGGTTGCTGGTTTCAATGCCGTCCGTAGGAATTTGGCTGAGAAAAGGCAAGTCGCCATCATGTTCGTGAAGGGTGTGATGTAGCGACTCTTTGACTTTACTTATTTCTCGCTTAAAAGTAAACGTAAGGGTCTTTGTGGCCTAATACAAATAAACAAATGAAAGCAAAAACGAACAAATAGAGCAAAATAAATGGATAGATGGGTAACCAATACAGTGGTATTTCTTGAAGGGACAGCGCACACTTACATGACAATTAAAATCTTTTTTAATCGTGGAATAAGACAGCCTGCAACTGCACGCTGCACCACTATCACGGCTAGAAGGTGGGCCTGCTGGGATCGTCATTCGTTGCAACGACTCCACCCAGTAGGCAGCGACTCCACCCAGTAGTACCGACATCATCCGTGATTTTCACTAGCCTAGTGCTCTCAAACATCTTTTTTAGTCTGTCTTCCTCGCAAGTAGCGCCTCTTCGCAGCAGTTTTCTTGCTGTTGCTTTCTGTTCGCCCAGTGCTCAGAATCGACTTCTAGAGAAGCGGGAGGGAGAGGACTCACTCGAGATGCATTCGATGGTTCGGCCGCTAGTAGGGTAAAAATTAAGAAGTAAAAATTTGGACCCACTGCCCACCACGTTCAGTTACGGAGTGTGTTTTGCTCCATCTTGAACACATACTGACACTCAGCTTCGGGGGTCCTTCTCCATGTGTGAGGTGAATAGTTCCGCCACTGCAATAGTGCGCCACTTAGTGCGCTCAGAAGTGCACGGGCTATAGGCGTGTGGCTCTGAAGCGCCATCTCCATACTCCCATCGCGCTGTCCTTAGGATACAGCAATTGCACGGATGCCAAGGTACCGCAAAGAAACATGTTCGGGGGTAGAGAACAACCAGCGAAGCAGAAGAGTAGCGATTTCAGCTACGGCTAGGCTCCTGCATGACCGTGCGGCAGCGCGGGCGGAGTATGTACCCTCGAAATCCCTGAGATGGGGTAGGCGTGGCTGTATACTTCAACCTAACGTGGCGGTGGCTGTGCCTTTGGCGAGATACTTTCTGTTGTGGTCATGTCTCTGTCCAACACTGACCAAGATGACACTTTTCTCAATCTGAAATAGCCAACGAGTAACCTGTTCTATGCCATGCTCAAATGCCACGCCCACTCCTTCTCAGGGATAAGGAGTTAGACGTCATCCGGACGCCACTGCTTTGTTTCTAGCCGCTCCCCTGCGCTTTTGACCGGGAAAAAAGTGGTGTAGTACGGCACAGCAGAGACCAGGCCCACGGAGATGAGTGAATCGGTTGCCTTCCATCTTGCTCAACTAATATTATCATTCAGCACTTATTCAAGTGAACCCTTGACCTTCACTAGTACGTACAAAGAACAACCTACGTCTATTTTCGCTTTTATCCACGGTATCCGTTTGACGACTGTGAAGAAGCGAGTGAGCAACCGCTGTTTGATACCTGTGAATTCATAACATTGAACAGCTACTACAACATGTTTATTGTGAACATTTCTGATGCTCTAATACAAGAAGCGAATATCGAATAATTCAAGTATCAAATCGCCAATTTTTTGTACCTATATCATCTCTGTGCATATTCCACAGCTTCACCAATGCATACGTGGACACCATCGTTGCTGACGTCAATAGCAGCGGATCTACCCGTTGCAGCGACTTGGCGATTTGATCGTGAGCATGCACAAGGAAATCCTTGGTCAATTCCATGATGTCGTCCTGCAGAAGTGACAATTCACTAGGCGTTTTCCGCTGGTAGGAGGAAGGGAAGCTTACTAGGAGAACGGTCGAGAAATCAAAAGCTCTTCTTCACAAATGAAATATTATTTTTGTAGCCAAATCAAGGAAATGAATGAATGAACTTCAAGCGTGAAGTGTATACTAGGAGACATGCACACTCTCGTTCGCTGCGGACGATGGGGCGTGTCAAGGGGGAATGGGTTTGGCGCGGCGCGTTCAGAAAAAATAATGAAAAAGCGCTAGCCCGCTTTTTTATTTTCTTGAACGCGGGCAACAAGACTGTCGCCTATAGCGCGGCCCTATCAGTCAATTTTCCAGCCTTGGCTCACGGCTCCGGTTATGCCGCGAGTGAGGCGGACATGCAAAGTGATGAAGGATTACTGAAAGCCTTTCGCTGTTCTTTGTGGTCTGTTGCGCAGAATTCAGCGATCTTTATTTTCGCTGAGGATAAGAGGCCTTTACTGGTACGGTGTCGACGCATTTCTCCACATTCCTACAACGAAAATTGTCTTCTCCCCAACACTCTCCTTTTTTCAACCTCTCCTTTAGAGTCTTCGACGGCTATTCGCGAAATGCGCCTGTAATTCTTTGTCCTTCTGTGGAAGCTCTACTGAGGCTAAAAACGAAATTTTCAACAAGGTTACTCGAGGGGAGGAGTTCAAATGTTTGAATCACGAGTATCATGGCTGCTCTTATTTCTGATGGATTTTGCAGCATTCAAATTGCGAGTTTTTTCGACTCTTCTTATCAGTTTTTTCGACCTTGAACAAGATCCCATCTCCCAGTCAAAAACTGATATATGGCCCTTATTGATACCCAGCGTATGAATCACAAAATTGTTGCACGGACACATAGCGGACATATGGTTTATATACAATTTTCATTCAAAAATCGACTTTTCAGAACAAATTCATCTTTTTCTCAAAGCAAATTCGTCGCATTTTGAGTGAGGATCTTTACACTGACAGTCACTGACCAGATTGCGCTGGATACAGCGCAAGTTCCGCCTCTACAGCCTCGCCCACAGAACTGTTGCAACGCTGGAAATTCTGTAAATGCTTGCGTACTTTACTTATGCAGTCACCACAAAACCAGTGCACTCATAAAAAGGCATTTATGCGCCTGCCACATTGAGC